GTTCGCACGCAATCTCAGTTTGTGAAAATTATTCAAACTCAACTAATTCACATTGACTTCACGTGAATTCCAAATTAAACAGTTCATAGGAATAATTTAAAATACATTTGCAGTTTCTTCAATTTAAAATAAAACACTTTGCATTTATAATTTTAGTTTAGTTTTTGTGCAAAACAATCAAACTCAATCCAATTTCAGTTTATTCATCTCCAAATAAAACACTTTACACGGTAATTTAAAATATTTGTTTGTGCAAATCACACTGTTCGTTCGCAGTTACATTTTTAAATTATACATTTCTGACGTATAATTTGTGTAAATCATTGAAACTATTCATTTAATTCATTTAATTTCTAAATTAAACAGTTCGACCGCATTACTTAAAATCACATTTTGTGCAAATCATACATCTCTTTCACGCTCACATTTTTTTTACACTTTGTATCCAAATTAAATAGTTTGCACGCACAATTTGAGATTTCTTTCTTGTGGTCAAGGCGGAAAGGAATTTCGACCTTGGATTCTATAAAACTAGTTCGAGGTGAAGATTAACAGCTCACATATTGTTTTTTTTCTTCTTTCGTAAAATTCCCTAATAGAAGGAAATCAGCGGAGATTTATCACACGGCTAGAGCAACATTTGTCGGAGGAAGAAAGTTAATGCGGCTGTAAATATATTTTTAGGTTTCGCAATAACAAACTCGGATTTGAAGGTCACCACGCAGGGAAAACAAATTTCACGAAATCCAGAAGCCACCGCATTGATGTAATAACTTTTATAGCATGAGCTTCCGCCATTGACAGATTTAAATTTGAAATCGAATTTAGTGAAATCGTAAAAGATCGCAATAAAATTACCAATGAAATCTTATACTGCTTTTTATACTGAAATTAGATATGTGGCAAATTCTACAAATAAATAATTATCTTAATTAGATGCTAAAGTAAATAACATTATAACATGTTTGTTGATTATACTCTCATTAAATACAATCATCGTAAACATTTAAATAAACATTTTTATAGATTTTTAATATTCATTCACAGTTATATTAGAGATTATATAAAATTCATTCGAAATAAATTATTCATTTAAATCTGTAAGATAAGAAAACTTTGAATAACAAATGTATCACTATATTTGTTACATACTGGCAAGGAGTTCCTTTATATTAATTATATTCATTTATTAAAATTAAAAGGAAGTTATTCATTATGATAAAATCCTAAATAAATTAATACTAAATAATAATTACTTTATTTATAGAATGCAGTCTATTTTGAAGAATCAGAAATAGACATCAACGAACTTGCTATTCATTTTAATTAGTTTGATATTACTTCCTTATTTAAATTTTGCATTCAGAAATTTCAGACATTATTCCTAGAATTAAAATAAGAAAAAAAATGTTATTTTAAAATTTACAGAATTTTCAGTGGAAGAGTAAAATGGAATCATAAGATTATACTGGAAATTTTATGTCTTACAAACACTTCTTGAGAATTTAGTTTTTTAAATCTATTAAGATTTATTTAGAATGAAATTGTTTTTAGACATTACAAATCTGAAAATAATGTATTTACCAATTAATATTTTTTATTTGCGTATTTTTTTAGCAATATAAAGAATATATTCATAAATACTCTCTTTGGATAAAATTAGCGTCACAGGTATTCAGTAAAATATTATTCATTTCAATTTTCTTAAATCAAAGATTAATTATCAATAAAACTATAAGCATAGCCAGAGACTTTGTTTTTGTTACTTTACTTTCATTATTTAGCATTGCATAGTTCGAGATAAGTATAGAAAACTAGAATGAAAGTACATAACTTAGTATATATGCAAATAAAAATCACTAATAAACTAATACTCTACCCAACTACAGTCTACTACAAATGAATTAATTCTTCATTAGAAAAACAGCTAAAAATTAATACAAACATTTTTTATGTTTAGAATAGTAAAACTAATAATAATTAATTCGTTCATAAATACAAAGTGATATTAACAATAAATTATTGTACCAATTACTTTAAAATATTTTAATTTAAAAATAAATTAATAAAATATGAACAATTAATGTTTAGAATGTATTTTCATTACAGAAAATGCACATGTATGTACATATTTATTTACTTTATTTCTGAAGATTAATTGTTTATTTATTTTTTTTCATCTCCTTAGGATGCGATCTCGCAATAATGGATCGCACATATGCTGCTCTTGGTCACCGCTGGAATGTGCAGAGGTAAATAAATTCACCTGCAGAAAATCATTTAGATTACGAAAAGGCAAACAAACGGGAACAAGGCGAACGCTGCTGCTATTCTGCGGTGCAGCCGGTGACGGGGAAAATGGAAAAAGGCGGGCGAGAAAAGTTGCTCGCCGGGTTTCCTCCTCGCACTGTTTCTCCTCTGTTCGTACTCGTAATTACTTCAATGCCTTCCACTTTTGTTATGTCAATTTGAATTAAACAGATCACAAACCACTTGCATTTGAAATATTTCCACGAAGATATTGCCCAACAGAATCCTTCTGTGATCGCTGTCTTGTGAAATACACATGTCATTTTTGTTCTATACTTTGCAACATATCCATAAATATAAACACTATACAGTTAGTATTCAGTTAAAGTTTAATAAAAATAAACAAAATTCTAATATAAATTCATTAATTTTCGCTATTTTTGTAATCACATATTTCTTCGTTCATACGAACTTATACTGTGTTCATACGAACGCACACTTTACCCTCAAACTCATCATTCGAAACGTATACATTTTTAATAATACTTAATTCAGTCAATGTAACTTGAATATAAGTAAAATAAACATTGTGACATACATTGAGAGATAATATACTAAATACACTATATGTCTATAATCTTTAGATTAATTTAATAAATCTACAAACGTGTTGTCATTTTCTATTCATAATCATCTTGTAATGGTCACAATGCTTGGTTAATTAGGTTAACTGATGTAGATCACTAATTTTCCTTTGCCTTTTTCAACTACAAACGAATGCAATACCGGGGAATGTCTTGCTTTAAAAGTATCATTTTATCAATAATTTATACATATATATTTATAAATATTACAATGTAATCACGTAAATTACGATATATATTAGGTTAAAATAATGTTATTCAACTTGATTGTTTGTAACAAACAAAAAATAAATTAACTATAGCAAATATTTTTTTAAACTTATTTTGTATTCTTATATTTTTCATATGATTTTTTTTAATAATACCAAAATTAGTATGCTGAATAAAAAATAGGTCATAACTTATATATTTCCATATATATTTCGTGTTTAATTTAACATTTTGATGTATTTATTAAGTTGTTACTATAAGAAATATGTTCTTACTATATGACTGAATTAGATTATAGCTAAATTTTAGAAATACTTACATATACTTTTACTTTTTCTTATCAGTATTTCCAATTGTATTATAAATTAATAAGGATATTATTAAAATATCATTAGCCGGTTACAACGATTCACCTTTTTTTTTGTTATGTAATTATTTTAAATTAAATGTGTATGGTTCTTCTAATAAATTATTGACTGATATACAAGTAATTGCATATAATATCGATTTTATTATATATAGAAATACCAACAACTGAAATCCAGTCAATCAAAATCTCGACACTATAAAAATACCGACAGTATGAAAATCCCGACAACCATAATCCCAACTTTATCAAAATTGCGGGATTTTGATTGTCGGGATTTTTATTGCCACCGTTTTCACTAAATTTTCTGAAATAATTTAGAGATACGGTTCTTGTAGTATTTTCAACATATATTATTATTAAATTAAAAATGAAAGACTTAAGCCCTTTTTACATATTATTACTATTTTCTATTTTGTTAAAATAATTATCTATTAGATTAACGTATTTTAAGAAATATTATTTAATTATACCAATAGTGGGTAGTTCTTATTTCACACTTTCTGTGATTATTTTAACACACTCAAATACGTCTTTCGCGTAATCGTTGTTGTTGTTGTACTTGAGATAAAGTGAAACTCAGAAACAACAAGAAAATAATGTGTTAGCAAGTTTCACTCATAAATTGCGATGTGTTTAAACAGTATTAAGTCTTGTTATTTACTGCAGCAATATTTCATACGTGTTCAATATTTTAATATAATAATTAATTTACAATTATGATTGTAACTTTACGTTAAAACAATTAAGTGACTAAACTTTTTAAAACTTGAATTATAAATCAAGTCAAACGTCATTTAATTGTCTGTATAATTGTAGTAATTATTTAATGATTGCTATGAGGTTGAATGTTATTTCTAACAAAATAATTGACTTATTTAGAATTGATTCTTTACTTAGTCGTAAAATTATTTGAAAAATAAAATGCGTGTATATTGAAGATTAATTATAGAATAACTTGTATAAATCAAAGTAACATGAAGCAGATCTGGCTGTTTGCTTTACAGAATATTAAACTAATATTAGAGGTAAAACGTGAGTAGAACATCCGCTCTGCGTTTTCTCAGCCGACGTAACTAATTTCCATACGCATATTATTAAACCGACGATTAACTAAATCACCGCAAGTTAATTGTTCCGATTAACGGCAGCATTTGTTTTCCATTCGATCGGTAATTGTTTTTAAACATTACGAAGCTGATACAAAGTACACCAGTTATAAATAAAACACGCGCGCAATTCGCACTTCGCAAATGTAAGACAAATGTGTTTAATCTCTACGAGGAATAAAATATTTTTTCTTTATATCCCGCTTTTCGTCGCACGTATGTTTCGATACAACGTAAATTTAAGCAAAGATGTTTATCTTCCAATAGGAATATTGCATAAGATCGATGGGATTCTTTGGATCCTTGATATTGAAAGGAAACGCGTACACAAAGTATGCGGAAGTTTGCAGATACCGCATTGAGTTAATTGAAGTCTTTGCGTGTTCGTTCGAAGGCTTCTTCCGATTACTAATTACTTACCAGAAAGATGGTGAACTTCATTGTTGTGTTGTTAGTGCTGCGCGGAGTGTAATGAAACCGCCGGTTTGTGGTTTGAACTGAAACTAACTCGGTTTCAAAACGCTTTTGCTCTCTTGAGATGGGGTCTGGTCGCGAGCGTGTGTGAGTGTGAATATGTGTGCGTCTGTGTGTGGTGGGGTCGGATGGTAGTAGTAGGCTGCAGCAAGCAGGTGATCGACGTCAGCAAACTCACTTTAAACCAGTCTATGAGGCGAAAGGACAAGAGGTAGGAGTGGTGGAACAAGAAGGAGGATTGATGTCCTCCTCACCGCAGTCTTTCAAAGAATCTCCGGTTTCTTTCGACAGCAAAAACACGAGCCCGGACCCCCAACCATCCGCGATAACCAATCTTATCTGTCTTATAATATAAACATCTATAGAATTAAATTTATTGTTTATTAGCGGAAATTAACTCCGATTAAGGTCCAAGGGCATTCGCCTTATCCATATATCTGCGTTTATTTTCATTTGAAGGAACGCAAAAGGCGCTACTTCCTCCTAGCTGACACTTATTTACGAGAAATTGCATAAGATTCGCAAATATCACTTCCGGATGAAGTCATTCGTGCGAATATTGCGATATTAAATATTTATCAAATAATACATTGTTATCGTAAATATTATTACATATCCTTACCAAATTACATTGACTAAATATATAATAATCTTTATTGTAACAGTCACATTAAGATAATAAACATTTTCATATAATAACAATAAACAAACAAACAAACAAACAAAGAAAAATCAACTGCTACAAATAGCTATTAATATGTGTTTGTATACAGTACATTGAGTGATTTATGTAAACATTACTGATTTTATACTTAATATAAGAAAATTGGCATTGACAGAAATTAAGAAGTAGATTTATAGGGAATTTATATAGAAATACCACACGTTAATTTTTTTGATAAATATAGAAAAAGTATTAATAGTCATACACATTTCTTATTTAGTTCTGGTTTCAAACAGTCATGATATTAGTGCAACTAATTCGCACTATGTTAGGTCCTTGTACTTAAATTTAATATATGAACATTAAAAGTTATAATAATAATTATATTGTGTTATCCAGAAAGTTCGTGTCGATTTTTCAAGAAAAATAAAAAGTTTTATACAGTGGAACCTCGCTTAACGTGTTTAATGAGTTCTAAAATTTCCGAATTTTTACTCGTATAGTGAACCTTATTCACCAAATTGTGCGTCGCGGCGCCCTGGGGTACCGCAAAAAAAGCGAAAATTCTGATATATTAACATAAAATTCGGATATACCAATGTTTTAACTTGGGGCGTCGCTGAAAAATTATTATGTATAAACCGAAAAAGTTTGGGAACCCCTGGTATACACCTTTTTTTATGAATATACCTTTTTTCATCTTTCACACAACTTAAACATTCGACCCGAGCAGAATTTATAAGGATTTTTAAGAAAAAAACCTTTTGATATGATTTTTTTATGTCAGCTAAAAATTAATTGTTCTTGCAGTTAATATAATAACTATAAATATGTGTAATGATTTATGTAACTAAGCTTCAAAAAAACGCAGGTGGATGCTAATTCATGTGTCGTGTAGTGTGGGTTGTGGCGATATTTTGAGTTCATCAATATTAGAGCAGAATTTTAAAGTTCAAATTACCAGCTCTAAATTTAGCCATAAACAACGTATCAGTTAATTATTGCGTTAATGGCATTTATTACTTTTCAGTAGTAGAAAAGTCTAAAATGCACTTTGTTTTCTTTCATCTTTAACCCTTTCAGGACAACTGATTACTGCTATTAACCACAAATTTAAAATTAATTTTCAAAGTAATTCGGTGTTGCAATTGCCTACTGGTTACCTATTCACATTTTCTTACCATAATTTTATTTAAACATTTATTTGTTAATAATTTGTAGAAATAAAAATGTGTAAATAAAAATAATTCGTGCTCAAAGGTTTAAGAAGGTACTAAACTGTCATAAATCATCTGAACCTTACCAATTTTTGTCACCTTTCAGAATATTTACACAAGTTTTTAACAATTCTTATTGACAGTTAGCATTTTCTTTATATAATTTTATATTAAAAATTTCTAATATCTATTGCATTAAATCAAAGAATAATGACACATGTTTGTAAAAAATCATTAATTATAAATAAATGTTAACGGACATCAATGTAATAATTTGATTAAACCGAGAAGTAGAAAATAATGAATTTTCTTGATATCAATTTGAAAATTGAACTATATATAATAAATGATTATAATATTATATATTACACGTATAAATAAAACAACTAGTATTATCTTTTAATGTAATATAAATATTTAATAAAAATTAACTATACTAGCAGTTGGCGATTTACATATTTGAAATCAGTAATAGCGGTTAAGAAACTCAAGTTTTGTTAGAGCACAATGGACAATCATCGTCTGTTATTACTTTCAATGTTACTTACGTAGATCAACAATTTTAACATATTTTAAATAAATGTAATCAATTTAATGTACTTCAATGAGACATTCATAAATTATTTTCGTTGATAGAGTAATTTGTTTATTTATTCATTTTCGTTCTTTTTCGATACAAAAAAATAGTTTAACACAAAACTTTGATAATTATTATATTTAGCAATCATTTTACTTGTTAAAATTGTTAAAATAAACATTCAAATAAAATAAAAATAAAAAAACTAAAAAAATATTTAGTATTAATTATTAAATACTTCATTATTATATATTTCTTGATTTCCTATAAAGATTTAGCATATTACTTTGGATCTTCTATATTTAACTCTAGGCTTTTAGATATACGTTTCCTTTAAATTCAAAGTTCATTATTAGTTTAAAAGAAAGTTTACCTTAATTCTTTATGTTTATGCAAATTTCATGTCGCTAAATCAGGTATTAGATGTTATAATTTAAAGTATATTAAAAAAAAAAGCATAAGTTGTGTATTTACCTTTGTGAAAATTGAAAGTCATTAAGTGGAATAAAAACAATCATTGTAATTAATGAATGAAGTTCCAATCAGTACAGCATTTAAAACATAATAACAAGTCGAGTATGCAGGAGAGTACGCACCCGTTTCAATTTATAAACCAGCTACTGACTGGCCTTCGACCATTGCTAATAAAATTAATTTAGTATTGCATAATTCTTACGACCATTTCAGTGTATATTAATAGAACTAGATTATACAGTTTACTAAAGGGGACCTATAAGGAGCTTTTTTATAACAAATAATCATACTTATGCTTAATGCTTTAGAATAATTATTTGCCAGAAGAAATATAGTTTTAAATCTTATTCCATATTAATGAAATATAGATTATAAAGAAAATGCAAATGTGTAAGGTTATCTTATCCCTTAAATGCCCTAAGTTTCAAATTTGATACCGGACTTTTAAATCGAATTGTACACTTGCCATTGTATGTTACCATTATATGAACAAAAGTTATACAATGGAACCTCGCATAACGAGGTTAATTCGTTCCAAAATTTCCGGATCTTTATTCGTACAGTAAAATACTCGTATAAACATATTCAAAAATATTATGTGATATGTGTACACACGTTTTTAAAATGATGGCCTGCTACATCCTGCGCATTCCTGGACTTCTCTTTTCATCGTCACTCGTTATGCGAAACGTCGCTCGTTCTTACAATACATTTGCTCGTTAAACGAAATGCTCGTTATGCTAGGTGCTCGTTAAACAAGGTTCCATTGTATATAAAATATGTATTGTGATTTTTTAAAATTATTTTTCCCTTTATCTGGATACTGCAATGGATACATTGATATGTTTTTAAATTTAATTTGTTGTAAAATATTGCCAGAAGTTGTACTAGAAGAAAAGAAATTCTTGCTGAAAATGTTAACAAAATGTTTCAAAAGTGCATAAATGATATTGAAAACGTTATATTTAGTGAAAAAGAATTTCTATTTATGAAGAAGTGTTATTCAGCAATCAATGTTAAATGCATTAATTTCGTATAGTTAGTTGTTGAATGAAACAGAGAAAAAGCACAAACAACCAACTTTAGAGATATAATTCCTTAATTTCAAATGATTCCTCAAAAAAATAGTATTTTTTTACCAAATATTCAAATGAATACTGAATAAATGACTTAATTTGAATATTCAAACCGCGAATTTTATAATAATTAAGTAACTCTTCGGTATTTCTCAACTAAATTAATGATGAAATTTTGGCGCAATGGGTAATCGGGTAAATAAGAAAACCGCAGCAGATTACTCCGGAAATTTTCAAAATGCCTGTCATCCCATTGAATCCAGATCTTGCGAAGCACAGCCACCGATCAGAGTGTTTTGAAACGTGAACGCAGCAAATCGAGAATTTCAATAGAGAAAGTCCGTCTAGCAAATGCGCGACAACAACTGAAGTTGTGCTTTTTTCTTCTTTTTCCTTTATAACAATAAATTGTATCCAGCAACAGGAATCTACTACGTTTTTACATAATATTTATTAAAATGCATTTCTCAGTTTGGTTAATAACAGAACGGATTTCGTTGTTTTTGGTGCTCAACTTTTGCATTTTTGCGGACTGCCTTATGTAATAGAGAAATTACAATTAAACCGGAGCTGAACGGAAATAAAAAATTGGTAGCATTTGAGCGCATTCAATGAAGTAAGAGAATTGTTTTGCTGACAATTAATAATTACATAAGTCGGAATTTATTATACCACATTTATTACTGTTGGGTTTCAGATCACATTCTTATAATAAAATGTAATATATCACAATATATGTTTTTGTTTCTTTAACTAAATGTTTACAATATATAATAAAACATGAATCTTTATTTTATAAACTTATATTTGTTATTAATTTATAATTAAATTATAAATTTATATAATTGTAGAATAATTATTAAGTCTTGTCAATGTATAGAGGTATATAAGAATAATAACAATATTTACGGTTTCAATTCTACAATTACATAAATAATTTTATAAAAAAAATAATAGAATATTTCTATTATGACATAAAAACTTGTAGCTCATCTTTTCTAAATCAAACTGGATCTATTTCGTAAACGATTTTTTACAAATTATCTCATAGCTTCATGCCATACGTTCTTCACAAAAGAATCTCCACTTTTTACAACAAATTAATGCATATACTTCAATCTATTTTATAATTCTCTGATAAGTTTTTCTATCGGTCATCTAAATATATAGATATTTTTCAAGTGCTAAAGCATAAATGCCACCTTCTTTATAGTGTTTATAGTAATTATATTATTTGTAAATAATGATTATTATGAATTAAAATATAAAGAGATTTATATCAAATTATTTATTGATATAAATATCTTTAACGACCACCCCAAAATTTTTGTTGGTTTTTGGGAATTTAAACGACTTTTACGATTATCATGAATTATTTGTGAAACTTAACTAATAAGAATTCTTCAATTTGTTTATATGAAGTAAACAGACATTTATTATAGGCCACCAGTTTTACAATTAATAATATATTATATTTTCATCTATAGAATATCAAAATAAATGAATACATTGCAATAATACCACACTATTACTTTATATATTGTATTGATATTGTATTGTATTTATATATTAACGTTTTATTTATAGATATTTTAGTCAAAAATCTATTAGCAAATTAGATATTTGGATTAATTTGATATTTGAATATATGCAACCAACAGCACATTTTGTAAAAGTGATAATAGCTTAATTTGGAAATTAATTTGATGAGATGATTTTAAAGAAATCTAAAAAAAAGAGAAATTATTACATTTGTTTTGTTAGAAATTGTGTTGTCTCGGTTGAAGAGTTTTGCATTGTGAGAGATCGAAATGCTCCATTGGCGCTTTTAACTTTTTTTTCACTTCTTCGGTCGGTTTGGCTGATGGCAAAGTGGGTAAAAATAATGGAACCGAATCCATTCGATTCACTTCTGTGGTGGGACCTGGGGGACCTGGTGAGTATATAAGCTGTCTTCGAATTCTATCTGCGGCAATTTCAGTCGACGCTCCAATGATGATTTTAAGAAGTGAATTGTTGCAGGTAAGTCAATCAAACCAATAACCAATACAAATACAGTTTCAAAATTGAATTTATCATTGGCAGGTGCTGCTGGTCTTCGGTTTTGTTTCCGCTCAAAACTACGAGTACGATGGGGGTGATAGTCCGGACTACTCGAAGTACTATTCTGTTGATTCCACACCTACAATAAACCAACCACAAAAAAGTGAATCTTCGGCATCCGATTTCGTATCACCTATAGAGTTCTCCAGTTTTTTCACGCCCTCGAATTATGAGTTTGGTGCCTCAAACGCTCAAACCGTTTCGAAACCAGCAAAACAGGTAGCGGAGGGCTACGAACAGCGCTCCGGTTTTCCAGATTTCAAATCACAGCATCCATTCGCCAGTAAGGATTACTTTGAGGAGGCTCAAAAGCAGAAGAATTCCGACAACGATGAAGATGAAGTAGTTAAACCAGGTCCCAGTTATGTATCACACAAAACCGTAGCTCCAATCAGTAATAATTATGCAAGCGAAATCGGAGATTTGAGCAAAGACCAAGAATCAGTTCAGAAGTACAACCAATACGTACCAAAATATCAAAACGTAAAGCAAGTAACAATCGAACCAAAATATCAGAACGCCAAGCACACAGCAATCGATCCAAAATACCTTCCCCAAGCTCAGACTTACCCAAATCCAACGCCTTATCAGAAATACAGTTTCCAGCCGGTCTCATCTAACGCCGATTATAAAGCATACACTCCAAAAGAAAATTACAAAGCTACTGTAACACCTACATTTAAACCATATGACATAGCTGCAAGCGATCAAGTGGCCAAGCTTTTGAAACAAAAGAGTTGCCGAAAAGTTTTCAAGGAAGTTGTCAAAAATGATAAGATCGCACCCATGGATTGCTACGTTTGCAAAGATGATTTAGGAGCAAATTACGAATCCTGTTCATACACCTCAGAAACAAACCCAAAGAACTATTATGTTGAATCTTCAAGAAAGAGTACCAAACCGACAAGCGAGAAGATTGAAAATTATAGGTACAAGAGGTACACACCAAAAGATGATGATCCATACGAATACGTGAAGGAACAATCTCAAAAGTATTATTCGAAACCGAAAGATTTTGATGAATATTATAAACCTGAAGAGTACCGTTTTCCAGCGGCCTATTTCAAAGAGAACGAAGAAAAAAGTTCTTCGGAAAAAGAGTCCGAGGCTTTGGTAAAAACCGGAGAAAATTGCAAGAAAGTAGCCAAAGATAATATGCTTTGTATGGTATGCGTTAATTCGAAAACTGGAGGAAACTACGAACAGTGCGCTTACTCCTCAGAACCAAACGAGAAAAAGTATGCTTATGTAAAGGAAAGGAACTACGACAAAGAAGACGAACCCGAAGAGACGCAAGTCACGGAGGATAAGGCTACCGAAGAAGTTAAGCCCGTGACGACTCACAGATCGGACGAACAAGCTAAAGATACGAAAACAGTCGAAGACTACGCGGTGCCAACTCATTTCCAAGAACAAAACAAAGATAAAGAAGATTACTATAGCAAATTCTTCCCAGATTATTCAAAAGAAGAAAGCAAAACGAACGAGAAGCAAGCAGAATTCGCTTATTACGGAGAAGGTGAGAAGAAAGACGTCGAAGAAGTATTGGCCGAGTTTGCAAAGAAAGATCGTTCCAATTGCAAGAAAGCAGAGAAAAAAGGTATGACTTGCTACTTGTGTACAGATAAAAAGGGAATGCAGCACGAGGAATGCATGTACGTTTCTGAATCGAAACCTCAATCCAAGTATTCAGCGTATCATGCAGAAGCCAAAGAACCGAAAGAGGAAGTCGAGGAAAGCAAAATTGCAGCGACCGAAGTCCCTCTACCTAAAAGTAAAACCACCTCTCTAAAGAAAGTGGAATCTAAATCTACAACAACAACAACGACAACAGCAGCAACTCCCACTACGAAAAAGACTAGGCAGTTCAAACGCACCAAGAATGTTCCCAATAACGTAGCCGCTGCTTCCACGGTCGAAGTCCAGACGGCGCTACCAGATCCTTACATAGCAGAGGGCGAAGATGGTGCATTCACAGCTGAAACAAGGCCGGTTTTCAGCAAGACACTAGGCTTCAGTCTACCTAAATTCATGCTCGCCAAGTCTGAAGGCGAACTGATTTATGATGAGTTTGTACACGGTAAATCTTAAGCTAAAATAAGATCCTCGCACAAACAAACTTAAAGTACACATATCCCTTCCTATTAAACAAATTCTCTAGTTAAGTGATTGTTATTTGTTATTTGTTAAATAAAAGAAAATTACGAAATATAATGAAAAACTTGTACAGTTTTTTATGCACTGAAGTATGAAAAAGACACAATCGCAATGACAATTGATTAGTTTCGCGGTTTAGAAAATCTCCTCAACTTTCACCAATCCATCAAAACCACCAATATTTTGTTGCAGGTTCATCGACTTTATATATGTTTAGTTTAAGAGTTTGTTTGTTTTTTGTAGAAAGCGTGTGCGAGGTCAATAAATAAACAATTTGGCATTTTAATACAAGTTCGTCACGTCCAACGCGATATTTTTTCGATAGAATCATATACATCTTTAATAAGATTATGTCTGATAATATCTAAATGTGAATTATATTTCATAAATGATTGCATAAGTATTCATACTACTTTCAACAAATTTTTCAAAAATAATACAAACTTATATTTATCGGACAAAATTTAGAGGCTGAAATCAAACGGTATATTTTGTTTCGGCACTTGTCGAATACCAAAACTTTCCTCGTATTTTTTATATTAATTATATTTTACAAATTATACACTAAAAAAATAATCTACCTAATTCATCGACTTCCGAGTAATACTAAACATGACGAGTACCAAGTTTTCACGGTATTGATTGTTCTTTTTGATTGTTGTAATAAAGAAAATATTGCCTTATATACTCTATAATATCGAGCTCCCAAACTGTGAGATGTCACTCATTGGTGAGTCGCGAGTAGATTTTTGGTAGGTTGCGATTTGTTCTGAAATGTAAATTTTTAAGATTTAAAAATTAAAATTAGAAATGTAAGTAATGTAAATGTAAGTAAGTAAAAAAATATATATATATAATGAATTGCGCCAGGAATGAAGTGGGTCTCTATAGATTGGGTTTGTAAAAAGTGGGTCGCATTGTTTAATAGTTTGGAAATTCCTGATATAGAGTATATTTTATCATTAATGTAAATAGCTTTTTACTTTATAGTTTGTTGCACTAGGCAACCAAATGTACTGTACTGAAAAAATATTTTAAAAAAATATTTACGTACGTTATAAAACTAACCTTATTCCAGGGGCAGAAAGATCTATGGTGAATAGCCATTGAAATTATATATATTTATTTTGTATGTTTTTTTTTGTATAACTGATGCAATAAACATTATTATTATTACTTATTCCAGTTTCAAGTGTTTTAGACTTTATTTATATTATTTAAGGAAGGTTTTAATACCAATTCAATTGTTTTTTGTTGTTTCCAAATCACATTTTTTAAATTCATCAACAAACTAATTAATATTCATAATAAGACTTCCTCTATATAGCTGATAGAATGATGTGAAATTATCTACTGTCTATTACATTTCTAATTATTTTGCAATCTCTCATAACATTGCAGAATACTTACAATTTCACGTTCTGCACTTTTTGAAAGGGTTTGTTAATGTAAGATGTAATAAACTCAATATGGACAAATACAACAATTATCACATTTAAAGTGTTCTTTTCGTATAATCTTATCCCAGTTGTAGTGCGTGTGTGTTTATCTTTTACTTAAAAAGTATTATTATAAACTAATACATTGTCAATAATGAGTTTGAAAAACAAAACGATATGCAATAAGTCACTCAGACTATTTCTAAATGATCAAGGTAATATCGTATACTTAAGCTTCAATATCCTTTATAAAATTAGGTAAATACATGATTCTCTTACATGTATACCTTTAGAACACGCTACATATAACACAGTATTGTTCATAGATAAATGTCTAATATATTTATTGTACCAACAATTGATTTTGGAACTTCTATCAGCCATGCGCGTTATTAAAAATCAATCCTAAGCATTTTACCTCTTAAATAACTACCATTTAAAATAATATTTAATTAACTTTTCATTATTTGCATAATTTTAGTGTAATACAATGTACTTTTTCTGAACTTTTAACATTGAATACCCTGGATATTTAATTAATAAAAAACTAAAACTATGAAAGTTATGCGAGAAGGTTGTCTTTAAAAATTGGAACGGTTGAATATATTCGTGAAGGAAAACTCATATTACCAATATTTTGGGTCATAAAATATGCATATTAACAACTTATTATCAAACATTGTGTAATATGTTATAGTGCATTTGGAGACAATATCATTTATAAACCTATTAAACGATAACATTTTGATATCTACCAATTACAAAACTGAACGAAGCTCGTCTACATTTTATTAGACATGTCATCTGTATCCGAGATAACAAAAAAAAGTAATCAAGATGGCGACAACAATACTCACGTTTCTGATATCAAGTATTCTTCAGCAAGGTAATATTAAATACAATTTATTAATTATACTAATTTCTGTTTTTTTTTAGCATTGAGTGACTCCTTTGCACCAAAAATTGTCGGCGGAAAAACAGCTGGCAACGAATTTCTTTATCAAGTGCACATCACAGATGGAGTTAGCTTGTACTGTTCCGGTTCCATTCTGAGCGAATATTGGATTTTAACGCACGCAGGGTGTATAGCGAAAAATGAAACATTTTACGTTGTTGCTGGAACGGTTTCGGCAAACTCCCGTGATGGAAATTATCACGAAATTGCTGAAAGCTTCAAACACGATTCGGATAACATTGCTCTAATAAAGCTAAAGACCTCTATAGAATTAAGCAATTTTGTTCAAGCTGTTAACTTGCCTGATGTAGATGAAGATGGTAATTTGAATTGCGTCTTCAGTAGTTGGGGAAAGCAAGATTTTTTGCAGTACATTAACGTAACGACTTTGTCAAACGCCGAATGTCAGGAACGTTTGCCCTATGATCTCATTTCAGACACGTTAATCTGCACAAATAACGAGGAAGGATGTGGAGCATGCTTTGGTGATTTCGGAGGTCCTCTCGTTACAAGAGGAAGAATACAAATAGGACTTTTAAAAACAATTCACGGTTGCACTTTGGGAGATCCGGATATATTCATAAGGATTTACAAATATGTGAAATGGATTAAAAATAAAATTGATTCAAATTTATAAATCTGCTCTCTAATATTCTATATAACGAAAATAATGATATTATTGTAATTTAAATTTTTGATTCAGACTTCCACAAATAAATATTTATTCGTATTATACTTCTACAAATTTAATTAAATGAAAGGCAGAAACCAACCCTTTACCCCACAAAATAAATTAAATGCATGTGAAAAGCAACTTAAACAAATCAAAATAAAGTTCAGTTTAAAAATCATTTCAATTGCAACATAATTCATCAAAAGATAAGATCGATTATTTATATAAATATATTGCAAGTAATTTGTTAGATAACAACCGAAAATCACAAGATTAAATGTTTTAGAATTTCATTTTTTATATATTAATTTATTATATAATGAAAATTAAATACTAAATATTTTTTTTAATTGGTAAGAAATTTAATGATAAGTAAAACATACTTTACATTAAATAAATGTAACTTTAATAACATACATTTACTGAGCAAAATCATTCATATATTGTTGAATGTTTATTCAAGACTGTATTACAATTTATACAATAGGCAATTCTCGACTAACTATTAGTATAATGACATTGTTTCTTCTCATTCTGAGATTAATTAATATATTAGAAATAACAAATAATTTCATTATTAAATTTTAAAAAAATGATATTACATTCTTATAATTAAGATTTGAAAATATAATTATATTTTGGTTTTTCAACTGATTCTCTGTGAGCAGTTACAACTAATATATAAAGATTCATGAAACATGCATGCATTGTTCTCACGCGCCACTTCTAAATTTTGTTATCAAAAAAAAAGTATCCCAATTTCAAAATAATCAATTAATTCAATAAAAAATAATCTCGTGCCACTTTCTTATCTAAATTATTAGAATACCTAAGTTAAAAATAGAAAATCATTAATTACAGTGATTTATACTCACGTATTAATATTATTAACAGTAGAAGAAAATATAAGAAAAATATATTTTCATATTTTTTATTTTATAATTGATCTTGTTTTAATTTTATGTTCAAATATAAATATAATTTATTTAAGAATAATATTAAAAAATGATATATAAGAATTTCGAAATAATAACAAAATGATTGGCCTATTCGCTCAAAGAGCTTAATCGAAGTCTATTAAGTATAGAATAAATTTACAAAAAAAAACAAAAGATTTATAAAATTCATTAAACATAAAAAAAGCATTTGATTCAATCAATTCCTGTAAATCTAATGTTATAAATATGACAAAAAGTTCTATTTATTATTTATCTCTAAAATGTCTATTATTAACAATTGTTTATATTATTTTTTATCAAATGTTTTTTTTTTAATTTTAAATCACCTGTCTTGCTATCAAATATTAGTAGCTTATAATAGATATCAATCTAATCTGAGCCATGCAAGCAGTATATATACGATGGAAATTACATACAGAGACATATTCAACCATGTTCCGATTTGTGGTTTTAGTAGCAACTTTGGCTTGCGCCTTCGGTAAGACTAATTTCCATCATATATATCTCCTTATTAAATAACTTTATTTCTATGTACTTTAGCCGCTCCATCAGCTGATGCTGATTTGAGCTGGAGGATCGTTGGTGGCAACAAAGCCCCAGCTGGTGCCTTCCCATACCAAATCTCTCTTCGTGGAATCTTCGGTGGCCACTCCTGCGGTGGTTCCATCATCAACGACCAATGGATCTTGACTGCTGCTCACTGCGTCCAAGGCTCTTCCCCATCTTCCCTCAACGTTGTCGTTGGTAGCAACCAATTGAACGCTGGAGGTGAAAAGTACAAGGTCAGCAAAGTTATCTACCACGAAAACTACGATAGCAACGCCATCAAGAACGACGTCGCCGTTCTTAAGTTGGAGAAGCCCCTTACCTTCAGCAAGACCGTCCAACCAATTCCATTGGCCAGCAGCAGCATTGGTGCTAACGAAGACTGCGTTTTGAGCGGTTGGGGAACCACCACCTACCCAGGAAACACTCCAAATGATTTGCAATTCATCAACTTGAAGACCTTGTCCGTCAAGGACTGCCAAGAGCGTCAAGCACCAAACCCAGTCTTCGACTCCCAAGTCTGCACCTTCACCCAGAAGGGACAAGGCGCTTGCCACGGTGACTCCGGCGGTCCATTGGTCGCTGGTGGAAAGCAAATTGGTATCGTCTCTTGGGGACGTCCATGCGGCATTGGCTACCCAGATGTTTTCACCAGGGTCTACTCTTTCTTGAGCTGGATCGAAAAGAACATCAAGAACTAAATTGCACACACTCTCACACACACACAAATAAAATCTATAAAATAAAATAAAAATTTACTACATATTTCTATTTTATTACATCACCCTGATACTCGTTATAATTTAAATATACATTCAATATATAAGATATGCATATATTTCTATATCAGATTGTAATATAAACAAAATATTATTACAATTAATAAAATATGTTTTAGCAGCAATAGAAATGACTTTTTGAAAAAGAAGTAATTTAGTAGATATTTTATTACAAGCAAAGATTCGAACCGGAACTGAACCCTAAACCGAAATAAACTGAAATTGTAATTGAACCGTTAACTTTAAACGAAACGAAAAAATTCTCAATTGAAAAACCGAAACCGGAACGAAATTTTAATTTCGGTTCAATCATTTTTTTTTATTAAATTAATTCATAATCACGTTCTTTCATGTATGCTCTTTTATGGTAGTGTGAAGGAGCCAGTGTTTTGATTTATTTATATAGTCATTCGAAAAAAAATAATTAGACATTGTGTTGGTCAGTCTACTGTGAATAGAGTATATAAACAAACAATGTAAGAGATAGCGATGAAGTGTCTTTGAATATTCCGAATTCCTTTTTCAAATAAATAAATACATAATAAACAAAACCATCAAGGCCGAATTCCGTTGGAACGCTTAATCATCAATAGAAATAAAGCCTCAATTACCACCAATCAACCACTGAAAATTTGAAGAAGAAAGGGCAATCACCAGTCTTACTGTAAACATGACTGAAATATTTTAACTAACCAATTTAAATTGTTTTTTTTTTTCTATTTTAAATTTTATTTTCAACCGGAACTGAACCAAAATTTTGAGACGAACCGAAACCGAATCTGGTACGATAAACATGTCGTGTACCGGGATTAAGAAATCCTTGGATACCTCGTAGTTATGTCGTTGTGGAGTCTTAGAGGGGTTTATGAATATTAAATGCAGTATTCTTAATTAGTTTTATTATACACATCGGAGTTATAGTGAGAAGTCAACTATACAATAGTTGATCTCATGTATTATTACTAAGAGTTACATTCTCCTCTTAAGTTAGTATTTATGAAATAAGTGCTCTTCCTTCGTCTCTCCAAGTAAGACCAACTTCTCAGTTCGACCCCTTAGCTAAGACTTCCTCTCTTTTCGGTTCTCTGACTAACACTTCCTCTCTATTCGGTCCCATGATTAAGACTATATTATATAATACAAAAATGTGTTCAATTCAAAAAGGGGCTATGTGGGAGGTAAGGAAATCAGTTTTGAGCTTGTGGAAAATACAACCGTTTCTTTATCTAAGTTTTATGATCCTACCGAAATGTTTAGGGGCAACTATACGATTTAATGTGTAACCGTCGTTCCGTTTGTATATTTGATGGATACGTTAAATATGATTTGTAATAATGAAGAGGAAAGTGGTAGACCTAACAAATATACATATTTGTTATACCATAAATGACAATAAAATGGTCAGCCACGACAAACATTTACTTGGAACGTAACCGTAACGTTTATAGTTTGAGGTTAGCTAACATAAACAATAATTTGGGGTTAAAAATATTCAAAGTATATGATAGTTTTGATTAAATAAATTTTTAATAATTAAAAACATTATTTTGAAAGTCTCCTAAATTAATTTCATTATTGATAATGTCCGAAAGTGCGGATTTTCAAATTTCATAAGTCAGTGATTAAGTTAATTTTATTTATTTAGTAGTAATTAATATTATAATACAGAGTTTTAAGATTTTAAAATTATAGAAATTTAGTCATTATATATAAATTAAATTATATTATTAATATATTATATAAATATTAAATTGTATAAAAAAATCTACTAGTTTTTGATCATTTCAAAGTTTATGCGAAATTAATTTCAAAACAATATATGTAATTTTAAAGTACAAAACCAAGCTCCGCAAACCTAAGAAACTAGAGTAAATATGTAAATATCACCAAATTTGATTTAGTCATATTGTTTTCGGACAATTTTTCAGATACGATATATACAATGGCTCCTTCAAAACCCTCCGGCCTACACAAAATGTAAATTATGTTTGTTGTATACTTAGAAGATTCAATTCAATTAATAATTGCTTAAATATTAAAAAACACTAATCCTGCATTTTTTACGGAAATTTGGATAATTGGGCCAGTCGCTTAATCGGGACAAAATGTACTACTCCTGAAGTGTCCCAATTATGCAAAATCACCTGTATATGATTATTTATATTAACTTATTTTCTTATAGCAATTTAATAATTAATTTATTAATTCTATTTAACAATAGTATAAATTAAAGCGTGATATATATATATATAAGATATATGGAATTTATCTGACAACTAATTTAGTTCTTGATGTTCTTTTCTATCCAGTCCAAGTAAGAGTAGACCCTGGTGAAGACATCTGGGAAGCCAATACCACATGGACGTCCCCAAGAGACGATACCAATTTGCTTTCCACCAGCGACCAATGGACCACCAGAATCACCGTGGCATGCGCCTTCTCCCCTCTGGGTGAAGGTGCAGACTTGGGAATCGAAAACTGGATTCGGTGCTTGACGTTCTTGGCAGTCCTTAACGGTTAATGTCTTCAAATTAATAAACTGCAAGTCATTTGGAGAGCTTCCAGGATAAGTGGTGCTTCCCCAACCGCTTAAAACGCAATCTTCGTCACCCCCAATACTGCTGCTCGCCAATGGAATTGGTTGAACGGAATTACTAAACGTGAGGGGCTCTTCTAATTTAATAACAGCTACATCATTTTCGATAGAGTTGCTGTCGTAGTTTTCGTGGAAAATAGCATTGCTAACTTTGTATACTTTCCCAACTGGGTTCAATTGGTTGCTGCCAACGACAACATTGAGAGAAGAAGGAGATTTGCCAACGACACAGTGAGCAGCAGTCAAGATCCATTGGTCATTTATGATGGATCCTCCGCAAGAGTGGCTACCGTAGAGTCCACGCAAAGAGATTTGGTATGGGAACGCACCAGTTGGGGCTTTGCTACCTCCAACGATCCTCCAGCTCAAATCAGCATTAGCTGATGGAGAGGCTTTGGAAAATATAATTATGAAATGTTAGTATAGTGTTAAAAGACAAATAAGTTAAACTTACCAAATACAAAAGCCAAAATTGCTACCAGTACTAATCGAAACATTTTCTTAATTGATTATGAGCCACTCAATGTCTTTGACTGATTTATATAGGTAAAAAATTAGATTAGATTAGAAAATATCTCCTATTATATTATATAAAACTACTCACTTGTAAATGATTCAATGACCCTACATTAATCAAAAATTTTAAAAACTAACTTGATAATACAAAATACTTGTTTTTCTTGGAACAAAATTATCTATAAACAATAATAGTACTAAATGTTTCACGATTATAAAAATTCTACTCTTTCTAGTTAATTTCTTAGAATGCTTTGATTAACTTTCTCTGTTATATTTCATATCTGATCTTTACTGTTTGATTACTGTTTTTTTTTTCATTGTTAAAAATAGATCTGAAATACAAAATATCTAAATTTAGATAGAATTTCCGAGAAGCTGTAATGCTATTTTTTATTTATATCACTGATCCAGTAAAAATAAAAGTATCTATAAGTGGTTCCATTGTTTCGGTAAATAAATTAAATCCTAATACTGATAATTTATTTTTAACTGATTGTATGTTGAAAATAATCAGAACTTTGCATTCATTCATTCCTAAAGAATATTCATTTCACAGTTTAGTACTTCTCGAAACCGTGATATACACAGCAAAGAAAAACTATTATTTTAATACGCAGAGGAAGAATTGCAAAATCGATGAGCCCTTTGGATTGACTCAACACATATTTATTGCCAAAGACCTAAGGCCCTTGCTCACTCCGCTTGGAAATTAAATTTTCGATCTTATAAAAAATAAATCAGATTACATACAATAATTAAAATACATTACGCTTGAAAAAAAGCAGCATAAACTGGAGAAAAAGTACTTCATTATAGAGAAAAAAAGATATTAAAATAAGGTACAAATATCCATCATGAATATTACGATTTCTAGGAATATAGAATTTGGAATAGAAATAAATATTAGGGATCTGTTGAGAAGAACAATTTTGATTTTGGAATACAACAGATCGTCGGGAGGGTTATGAAGAGGATTATTTGGATATTGTATTTTGTTAAGAATGCGGAGTCTAGAACGTTCAAACTTGGATAGGTTTTTCAGGAGGAGATTTCGGCATTGGAAAACCGTATCAAGGATAGGACGGCAAATAGGTTTGTTATTGGGAGAAGTGGGAGAGATGCGATGATAATGAACAAGGCATTTTGTTTTAGAAGAGACTTCAGACACGACTTATTAAAAAGATTTTTGTAAGTTGTAATCGAGAATTGATGGATGGAGGTGTATAAAATCATGTTTTTTTTTGGCTGATGTAGACCATTTGCAGGTTGTCATAGACCCGTGGGGGTCGATATAGACCACTTTGTGAATCACTGATATAGAGGTTAGATGTAAACTATGTTTCTTAATTTAATTAATAAGTATAATACACTAATTTATATATTATACATATTTTCTATTTTATAGATAAAAATATTATTATTGCTTTAATAAGGAATATATAAACATGAAACGATTACATATTTTCTAATGATTTGAATATTATTCTAATATAAAACAATATAATTGAGACAAAAATTAATAATAATTTTCAAATGTTTCGGTTAGAAACTATATGAATTTATCATTACTTTAGATTATAATTCTGTCAATACGTTATTGCAATCTTTTTCATAATAGTTTGGTCAATAAAAATACATTTTTATTTATCTTATACAATGGAACCTTGTTTAACGAGCACCTCGCATAACAAGCATTTCGCTTAAAGAGCAACGTTTCGCATAACCAGTGACGACGAGAAGAGAAGTCCCGGATTGCGCGCCTGCTACATAATTTTTAAAACTTGTCTACACATGTTATGTGCATTTTCGAATATGTTTCACTATACGAGTAAAAATCCGGAAATTTTGGAACGGATTAAAGTCGTTAAGCGAGGTTCCACTGTATATATAATATAAATAAGACAATATTTGTTTGTTTATGCATAAGTTGCTTTATTAAATCAAGTCAATCAGATAAGTACTTTAGTTCTTGATGTTCTTTTCGATCCAGCTCAAGAAAGAGTAGACCCTGGTGAAAACATCTGGGTAGCCAATGCCGCATGGACGTCCCCAAGAGACGATACCAATTTGCTTTCCACCAGCGACCAATGGACCGCCGGAGTCACCGTGGCAAGCGCCTTGTCCCTTCTGGGTGAAGGTGCAGACTTGGGAGTCGAAGACTGGGTTTGGTGCTTGGCGCTCTTGGCAGTCCTTGACGGACAAGGTCTTCAAGTTGATGAATTGCAAATCATTTGGAGTGTTTCCTGGATAGGTGGTGGTTCCCCAACCGCTCAAAACGCAGTCTTCGTTGGCTCCAATGCTGCTGCTGGCCAATGGAATAGGTTGGACGGTCTTGCTGAAGGTAAGGGGCTTCTCCAACTTAAGAACGGCGACGTCGTTCTTGATGGCACTGCTGTCGTAGTTCTCGTGGTAGATAACCTTGCTGACCTTGTACTTTTCTCCACCGGCATTCAATTGGTTGCTACCAACAACAACGTTGAGGGAGGATGGGGAAGAGCCTTGGACGCAGTGAGCAGCAGTCAAAATCCATTGATCGTTGATGATGGATCCACCGCAGGAGTGGCCACCGAAGATTCCTCGAAGAGAGATTTGGTATGGGAAGGCACCAGCTGGGGCTTTGCTACCACCAACGATCCTCCAGCTCAAATCAGCATCAGCTGATGGAGCGGCTAAAGTACATACAAATAAAGCTAGTTTATAAAAAGATAAATATGGTGGAAATTAGTCTTACCGAAGGCGCAAGCCAAAGTTGCTACGAGAACCACAAAACGAAACATATTTTGTGTGAATATGATTCCAATTCAAATGCGGAACGTTTATATACAAACCTAACTACTCTGATTAGATGATATCATTTCTTAAATTGTAAAAATCTATTAATAACTTACAATTGATTTCATTTCAATAGACTGATAACGAGATGATTAATCTACATCATGTATTATTAAAAATAGAAAATACACTCAATACTTATGTTATTATAATAATTGAAATATTTTGAAAAAAAAAATAGAGCATCCTATTAATACATATCAAAAGTAAACACTTAGTAATTTCAATAAATGTAGAATATTATTACAGGGTGGCTCAATTGAACTGCAACATTTCAGAACGCTGTATTTTTTTATTTGAAATTTAATTTTATTGAACCAAAAGAAAAAAAATTGAAAACAATTAAATATTTTGAATTTATTTAAAATTTTCGATATGGCCGCCTTTTGCGCGAACCATGGCTCTGAGTTGGTCGACAAGAGAGTCGCACGCTGTGGAATCTTCCTCCATTCACAAAGAAGAGCTTTCTTGAGCACATTAAGACTCTGGCATTTTGTAGTGCTGACATTGGCCTGTAAAATGCCTTATACCGAGAAGTCAAGCGGATTTGCATCTGGTCACCGGGGAAGCCACTGTACGGTCTAAATTAATTGTGAAACGTCATCTCTCAGCCATTGTTGGTTGGTGCGTGCTTTTTTGTGATGGTGCAGAATCTTCTTGAAACGTCCACTTTTTTTGACTGAAATTTTTGGTGGCCCACGGGTTTAGAGCACCTTCAAAAACTTTTTCGTAGTAGACATTCGCATTAACCTTGACGCCTCGGTCCATAAATATCAACGGAGAGCGACTATCGAACGTCACAGCCTCCTAAAGTACCACAAACCATGTTGCTTGACTTCTTGTGGCTATTCGAATGGCTAAATTTGTGTTTGATTCGATTATTTTGTTTGTTTACAAATTTCGAAAATTTTTCTCATCAGACATATGTATTTGGCAATTGGCCTCGATCTTGCATTGTATGATTATCTGTTACTTGTTTATTTTCCATATGTTTAGCTGAGAATCCATTTGTCTTCCACTGCGTCGCGGATTTCATTCAATTCGAGCCTTCACTTTCCGAACCACTTCTGCCAGAGATGAAGTTTTTTTCCGATTACCAAAATAGTATTTTTTAACATTAATAACACTAATTTGTTATAACGTATTATGGTTCGAGACACGAAATATTTATTCACATTGAGGTACTCGAGGGCTCTAACAATAGCCACTTTCGGGTTTCCGCTCAAATATATCTATCACACTATTATGTTTGAATTCCATCACGGATATTTTGTTTTCCAAAAAAAAAAATAGATGCAAATGCTTCCGTAAGCTTGTAAACAATAAAATCAGCTATCATTCAACGAAATATGGACACAGCATTGCCGAAAGTTCTAGCAGTTTTAAGCTGCAACTAACTTCAATTGTATAAGATTTTTTTATTGACTTAAAAAGAAATTCCCGCTTGGAAGATTGATGTATTTATTGTAATAATTTATGTTAATCCACAAAAAAGATATATGAATTGAAGTTTTCTTATGAAGCTTTAAAATAAATATATGACACATTTTTTGTAACCGCGTGAAAACCGCGTATATCAAAAACTATAGTATAGTCGCATAAGTATGCTATGATATGATAGCTAGAAATGCCAGGGTCGTGCACGTATGTTTATCGTATACGTCTTGCCTAAAAATATTAACACATTCGGTCCTGATATTTTTTTATTAAAATGTTGTGTTAGGAATGTTTGTACTCAGCAACTGTTATAAATAATATTGTTTTCAATTGCATAAATGTCAACTGGTCTTGAAAAAAGTGTAAATAAAAAAATAAAATGTGTTTGTAAAATTTTTTAAGTGTATTTTCAATAATATGTATGAAAACATTAAATATGGTAATACTTTGAATATTTTTTATATCTATTTATATAAATAGGTACTATATGTTACATTTGTTGTAGATATTTACTATTATTAGGTAAATTACACACAATTACGATGGGTCTAACAAAAAGTCGCTAAGTTAGTTGGAAAAAGAAAATAAAAACATATTAATAATATTTTTAATATTCAACATTTTGTAATTTATCTTCATAACTTCCATTCATAAACTGCATTAATGATGGAACCTTTCCTTTTTTAATTTTCGAAAACAGCTAAAAATCACACTAGGTCTGGAGAATAAGG